TAGAATAGGGTTTCCTGCCTGAGCAGGAGGTTGGACTAGAAGACCTCCAAAGTACCTTCCAACTCTGTTATTCTGTTATTCATTTTCCTATTGCAGCTAAGAGTGGTTTTGATTCATTTCCTGTGAATTTATATACCACTTGTTCATCTTCTTCTTCACTTCATATAAAAGGAATTCACCCCAATGGTGTTTCCATCAGGACTCAGCAGGAAAGAAAAGGACAGAATCTAAAGCCAGCTGAGTCACACTAATATAACAGTTCTCTTGAGCTACAACTTGTGGCCATTCTTTTTTTTTCAGCCACAAAAATGCCAAGGACACAGTGGGGCACACACAAATGGTACAGACCACACCAGATTCAAAGCTGAAAGGAAGAACCTTTGACCATTTGCACATTCAATTCATCTGTTGAGAATTTTTCTTCTCTCCCCCTCCTAAAGATTCTGTAGTTTTTAAACCATAGTTGATGGAATAAGATACCAATTGTAGATTATTCAATAAAACATAACTTAAAAGTGTTTTAGCATGAGATTCAAGCATGGGAGAACCCTTAGCTTCAACAAGTCTCCTTCATCAGCCCGTACTAGAGCTTGAAGCACTAGGTTTATGATGGCGATCTCCCAAATCAACACACTAGGGGGGCATCCTAAGCTCCTCACCTGTCACATCTTGCAAACATTGATCCTGCTCCTCTTTTACTTTTACTTTACTTTTACCTTTACCTTTATTGACACCCGTAAACTCCTTGACCCATAGTTAAGTTGGAGAAAAAAGATGGGATTGGGTTTAAAAGCTGTTTGGAAGTTCCATTGGTTCATTCTATGAGTCCACCAAGCTATATGGTGGCTTGATTCTGACTCAATAGGTTATGCCCTCTCCTCCAGTGTGATTTGAAAACATTCATTTATGGTTTAAGATAATGTGTGAACTCAACCGTGATTTATCCAATATATGACAGTTAAAGAAACCATGGTTTAGCATGAAGCCCATAGCTTCTCACCAGAACTGTGTGTCCCAAACTGTTCAGTATCTAATTAGCAGTTTAACCTTACATTGTATTTTCTTCTCCTTGATGTTGTCTAAATGAAATACATGGGAAAGACCATCTGGCAGGAGTGATTCTTCCATGCCTTTCTCTGTCACCTCAACAGGTGAACAGTTCACACCAATGCAAGGTCACACCACACTAAAAGGCTTCTGTTTCATACCTCCATGGAGGAGAGGAGGAAAAAAGATGCAGCTGTAAAATCTCACACCATATAATTTCACAATTGTTTCTAAAAGCCACCCAAGAAGGCAACCTCTGGGTTAATAATATTAGCCATGACCAAGGCTATGCCATAATAAAAATCAGAGAGAACATTCATTTTTCATGTCAATGAACAGCAATAAGTGAAGAAAAGAAACTATTGACTTTACAAACTACTTCATAAGTCTCTTTGGGAGCTTAAATTGGATTTACAGAAACTGGGAAAAGAAGATCATGGTGAAACATGATTCATCCCTTTGGCACATTCTTCAATGGTGCTAAGGCAGAACCTGCAGATCTCATTCCAGTTTTGTATCAAATTTAATTTTCTACAATAACTCTTCTGAATGCATATTATTCTATTCCTATTTTTCCAGGACATAAAAGACTGTTTGCCATATCTATTTTCTTACCTAACAGCCTCCTAAAAAAGACCTTAGCTCAAGATTTCCTAAAACGTGGATTTATTTTGAAAGTTGAAGGCACAGTTCCTCTACATCACTCATTTTAATTGACATCCGGGCTATTTTTTAACCTCAATAAATACTCAGGTTATTAATTTCTGTATTATTGCATTATTCTGTGCCTTTTCTTTCTATATCACACCTGATGTTGTGTATTTAAGAATATCAGAATAACCCTGTGCTATCAAGACCAACAGAAGCCAACTAGATGCTCTTATCTTTTCATGTACAAAGGAGTGTAAATAACGTTCTCAGCCAGGAACAGTTTGGCTTACAGTTCCTACAGTTAATTGCAGGATCCGATAACATAGAACAGAACAACTGATCATTTGTTTTAAAAATAAGGAGAGCAAAGGAGAGAAGTGACTTCATCATCTCACTGATATGCTGTGACTGACAATGCAGCTTGCAAGCATGTGACTTTGGCATTGCATTTTTGATTATTGATTGACAATACTGATTTGGATTTTTAGGCAAATTTTCTTCTCTCCCTTCCCCCCTTTCTCAGTGGGCATTTTTATTTTATTTTGTTTGGAGCAATTCAGGAGTAAATATAGTCGACTTATGACTACATTTGACCCCAAAAGTCCTGTGCCTAAGTGAAACATTTATTAAGTGAGTTTTGCCCTATATTATGACCTTTCTTTCCACAGTTGTTAAGTCAATCATTGCAGTTGTTAAGTTAGTAACATGATTGTTAAGTAAATGTTGCTTCCCTGTTGACTTTGCTTGTAAGAAGATCGCACAAGGTGATCACATGATCCCGGGACACTGCAACTATCTTAAATAGGGAAATTAAATATTAAATAAATATTGCCAAGCATTTGAATTTTGATCACATGACCACATGGATGCTGCAATGGTCAAAAGTGTGAAAAAAGGTGTCGTACGTTGTAACTCTGAACAGTCATTAAATGAACTGTTATGAGTTGAGGACTACTTGTAAATAAGTTAAGATTGTTTATGAACAAGCTCTAAAGCAGTGTTTCTCAACCTTGGCCACTTGAAGATGTCTGGACTTCAACTCCCAGAATTCCCCAGCCAGCATTCGCTGGCTGGGGAATTCT